AAAGCCCAAAGCTGCTGGGCTTTGTCCTCCATCGACAGCAAGGGGCCCGCTGAGTTGAGCAGTATCAGACCGCGACAAACGCTAGGACCTGGGTCGCGTGGCGTGGAAAGCCTCTTGGTCTTTATTTAGGTCCGCCACCACCCGGTTAACGTAGGGGCATGAATAGTCAGAACAGGGCTTTGGGCTCCTTCATAGTACAAATATAATAAAGAGCCCTAAAGAAGAATAGTATTGGTAAATATTAGGCTTCGTTTTGGTAAACTTCGAAGTGGTTTTCAAATAAATATCAGGGCATCGGGCTCAAATACCAACCCTGTCTGAGCCCACGTACATAATGATAAGATAGGGGGCTCCATTTTTGGATCTTGTAGCGGGTATGGGACAGATTTGAGATCCTTGATCTGGGTGTCTGCCCTTGGTGTATCTGAATCCTTGGGGTGTTTCGGAGCCGGTGGCTTGATCAAACAGGCTCCACTTGGGGCACACGGTGACAGGTATGTTATAGATGAGGCCCTGCATCTAACATTAACCCTAAACCCTAAACCCTAAACCCTAAACCCTAAACCCCTAAACCCTAAACCCTAAACCCTAAACCCTTAACTCTGCAAAGGGTCCCGGGCCTCTCTACGCAATTCTTGTGGGCACCATACCGCAAGCCTTAAAAGGCACCTTCACACAACCCTCAATGAGCTTCAAAGCAACCCTTAAAGGCACCGTGAAGCAACTCTTCAGGACCTTTATTAAAACAACCCTGGGCACCTTAAATCAACCCTAACCGTAAAGCGGTTTAGGGTTCAGGGTTTAGGGTTTAGGGGGTTTCGGGTTTAGGGTTTAGGGTTTAGGGGCAACCCTTAAAGACACCTGAGCGTAATCCTTACGGGTACAACTTGGCCGCCGCACCGCTCCCCAAACCGCTCCACCCCGCCGAACCCCATACCACACCACCACATGATAAGCAACCCCCCTAGCTCCAGCTAAGGGGTTGCTGATCTGGGGTTTAGGGGTTTAGGGGTTTAGGGGTTCAGGGGTTTAGGGGTTTAGGGCTTAGGGTTTTAAGGGCTTAGGGTCCGGAACAAGGGGTGCATAACGAGCCCACTTTCGGGGAAGACCCCAGCTGGAGCTTCTGCCCCGGTTTCGGAGAGCCTTCCCAGTCTGCTTTTAGAGGGGCCTACCAAGGCCAAAGCCCTAAACCCTAAACCCTAAACCCTACACCCTAAACCCTAAAACCCTAAAGCCCTAAACGTTTAGGGTTTTAGGGTTTTAGGGCTTTAGGGTTTTAGGGCTTTAGGGTGTAGGGCTATAGGGTTTTAGGGCTTAGGGCTTAAGGGTTTTAGGGTCTACGGCTTGGGTTTAGGGTGCTAGATTAAGGGTCGCGTTGCGCTTACCGGGGCCTGGTTAGGGATTGCTTTACCCGTGGGCTCCACAGTAGCTCCTCTTCGGGATTACCTTATAGAATCCTAAACATAAGCCGCAAAAAGGAACTACAACGGAGCCGATAGGTAAGGTAGGGTTATAAGCGTTGCCTTACGGCTGGCACTTGTGGCTTCTAAAGACTGGGTGCCTGTTAACGATTGAGGCGGACCCTAAGTTATAGACGAAGGAACCCTGAGGGATAGTGCTAGTCGGCTTAGGGTTTAGGGTTTCTGCTAAAACCTGTGAGGGCTACGGCTAATGATCTAAATCCTGCATTACCTTTTTCAGACCTGAATCCTCACGGTCAAAACTTCGACCCGATTGCATAGGCCCCTTTCAACACGTGTGCGAAGCCTCATAGGAAAGCCTCATTGCTCCACAGATTTTGGACTTCCAAAATCTTCCATAGTAGCCCTTGGTAATTAAGTTTTGGCCTATGATGAAAGGCAGGGGTGGGCTTAGGGTTGAGTCGCCCGAGCTCGGCGCCAAGAAATGCTGCAGCAGACTGGGCCATGTAGCCTCGCAGGCAACTTGGCTCCAAACTTTGCCAAGCCAAACCCCAAACTTTGTACCCTAACCCTCAACACGTAATTTGCCCTCACAACCGGTACATCCACCGGCACGGCTGGTTGTCGGGATGGCTGATATGAGCAATGTCAACCCCGAAGCAAAAAGGAAAGAGGCATGAGGGTGTAGAGGCAGCCGAACTGTTGCCCTTTAGGTAGTCCAATGTATATCTATATCTATGTCTGTACCTATTGTTACACCTATATCTATAGTCTATATCTGTATGTATAAATATAAATATATATATATATATATGTATATACAAAAGAAGTCATCCATGGTGCGAGATGGGGATTGGCTGCAGGGTCTAGGGGTAAACTTCTATGGCAACAACTTGATCCACTAAGGAAGCAAGGAAAGCTACACACCCTAAACCCTAAACCCTAAACCCCTAAACCCTAAACCCTAAACCCTAAACCCCTAAACCCTAAACCCTAAACCCTAAACCCTAAACCCTACACCATCTGAGCTCGAACTCCTCATCACCAAGGCCGGGAAAGGTCCAGGGCTTAATGCAGGGGGCTTAATAGTTAGAATAGGGTTTTGGGCTCCTCTATACTATAGTCACAACAAGGAACCCCTAAAGTAGTATAGGTGATTATTTAGGCTTTTATTAGGGTTTAGGGGTTCCAGGGTTTTGGGCTTTCCAGCCTCCGATCGAGTTTCCCATGACCACGGCAGGCGTGCCCACCACTGACAGCAGAAAGTCCTTCACACATTGCTCCCAGACCTGGGCTGGTTTGGGCATTTAGGTTTTAGGGGTTTGGGGTTTAGGGTCATCCAGGGTGCGTCGACTTGCAAAAGTTAAGCTAGAAGGCTTACTGTAAGGCTACTACAAGTTGGAAGGGATACTAGGCTACGATAAGTTGTAAGCGTTCCTGTCGCTACTATAAGGCTGCCCGAAATAAGGTAAATTAAGTTAGAAGGGCTACTGTGCGGCTACCATAAGTGTTCCTATAAGGTTATTAAAGCGTTGGTAAAATCTAGCTTAGCCTGTTCAGGTCTGTAGCCATCATGCAGCACGCTCTTGGTGTGATGTTTACTTGCAATACTCAGTACTCTCGTCACATAAACAAATGTACCCGGATTGCGCGGAGTGGCCCCGCCCATAGTAGTTCCTTTTTGGGGTTCATATATAGAATCCCATAAGGTAACCCCAAAAAGGAACATGTCTTATAAAGTAAGAGCGGCTCGGCGATGACCGGTAATGACACTAGATGACCTCAAGAAAGTTTGAACTGAAGCTCCCCAAGCCCCAGAACCGTAAGCTATGTTTGCTTTGGAAACACTTGGATGAATTTAGGGTTTAGGGTTTAGGGTTTAGGGTTTAGGGTTGCAGCAATCTGCAGGGGTGCCATGTGATTGAATGCTTTCAATTCAAGATTTTCTCCCACTGTGCAGATTGTAAACCCAACCAGCTTGCCTAGATTTTACTGAATGATGATTCCCAGACCACGGACCCTAAACTCCTAATCCACAACTATCCACAAACCAGTACCCTTGAACCCCAAACCCTAAGCACTAGTGACTCACAACGAGCCGAAGCGCATATTGGGTGATGGACACCGGTGGCTTTTCCGCATGTCCAAAGCCTTTTGGATTTGCGACGAGTCAAGAGGCACTAGCAGTCGCTTTAGGATGAGGGCTTGCTTCTTTTGCAGCAGAGGCTGGTGTAGGGTTTAGGCTTTAGGCTTTAGGGTCCGTTGCTGAAGCTCTGTGCCGTTTGATCGGAGTATAGAACAGCCGTAATCCCAAAGGCTCCCTGTACCCATATAGTACATTACTTAGACCCTGAAGTGCCTACATAGGAACGCCATCAAAGCCTGAGTATATACTCTATGGGTACATGAAGAGTGCCTACATCAGAACCACTTCAAGGCCTAGTATAAACTATATGGGTGGTTGTCAAGATTAGGGTCCCTTTTTGGGGTACCCTAAATATTAGGTGCCGTATTAATAAGGGCTTAAGAAGGGACCATAATTTTGACAACCAACCATATGGGTACATGGAGCCTTTGGGAAAAGGTGGCTTAGGTTTTGATTCCGGATCGTCCTTCACTTGCATATGGGTAGTTGTCACAATTATGGTCCCTTTTGGGGTACCCTAAATAATAGGTGCCGTATTATAATAAGGACCCAACAAGGGACCATAATTTTGACAACCACCCATATGGCCCATGACCGCAGGATGTTGACATTCTGAGGCCGCTCCCGAAAAGAGGGTTTAGGGTGTGCACGGGCTCAAGCTCGTTCCTAAGACAATGGTTGTGATGATGACTATGAATAGTACGGTTTTTACATTGTCAAAAACCCTAAACCCTAAACCCTAATCTTGATTATGGTTCGCCAACAACAGAAAGTACAGCAAGAAGAACGGCTTCCAGGTTCTTGGCCCGGGCCGCTTCGTCTCGCACCCTTTGATCTTTATCCTCAAGTATTAGGCTTGCCGGATGCCGTGTCATCGGTTTAAGGTTTAGGGATTCAGGGGTTTAGGGGTTTGAGTTTAGGGTTTAGGGTTTAGGGTTTAGGGTTTAGGGTTTAGGGTTTTTTTTTTTAAAGTGTTTCGCTGGAAACTGGAAGTGCATGTCTAACTTCTCTGCGCTCCTCACATCTTGAAACCCTATAGACAGCCCTGGTACTCTTCAGATCCTAAGGCCCCTGTCCACACTAAAGGGTAGCCCTGAGACCCTGAACCCTCACAAACCCTACAGCGAGCCGTCTACTCCTGAATAGTGTTTATGGTTTAGGGTTCAGGGATGCTTACACTAGGGGTTCACAAGTTTCGGATTGTTTTGGTACTCTCATTTTCAAAGGATCAGAAACGAAATTTGAGGCCATACAACCTCAAACAAGATTGGAGGAGGACCGCTTATTTGTCCCTAAGTTAGAAAACGAAGGTGCGCAGAGTGGAGTGCGTACTTGTGGGCGAGAGAAAATGGCATGCCTTCCAAAAGAAAGACCCCAATGTCAAACTCAAAACCCAAAGGCATTGAACCCCGGACCCAAAAGCCCAAGTGGGCCTAGCATGTCCAGCGCATAGAGCGGGATGGGGCGATCAGCATCAGCTTCGGCCAGAGCCGTAGCCAATGGTGCAAACCTCAGTTCTGAGTTTGGGCTTTCGGTGTTTTGAGCATCTATAAATACTGAAATCCTACACTTTAAGACCTATGGTACGAAGCCCAGCTACGCTTCTAAGAGGTCCGTGTCTCCACACATACCCATCTATCTATCTACCCATCTATCTATCTATCTATCTATCTATCCATCTTTCTATCTATCTAGCTACGATCTATCCAAGATGTATCTACCTATCTATCTGTCTAAGATCTATCTAAGATCGATCTACCGATCCATCGACCTACCTAGCTACCTAGCAACCTATCCATGGATCTGCTGGCGCCCCAGAGAAGTACTGTTGATGATATAAATCCTGCGTTGCCTTCAGGACCCTAAACTTTGGAAATTCTGGCCTACTGCTGATTAGGGGTAATGCAGGATTTATATCATCAACCCCTAAACCCTAAACCCCTAAACCCCTAAACCCTAAACCCTGAACTTGCATGGCGGGTCGGGCGGTGGATGAGGAGTTGACCCACCCCTATACCCCCAAACCTCAGGCCCCAGAACTCACACCATACTGTTACTTAGCAATGCCGGAGGCCTGGTATTTGAACCTCAATTTCGGCTTCCTGGGCTGGTTTCGATCAGCATTCCCAGCAAGGAAGCCAAAGACCAGCAGATGACTGCTTTTGCGGGATACCAAAGCGGGTTTAGGGTTTAGGGCCTACAGAGCGACGTCCGAACACACCAAAAATCATGCTACACGAAATTCATCTATCAGGACCTCCCAAATTACCCCGCTAATTAAAGGCCTCCCGGTTCTCAGTGAATGTCTAGGCCACGGTAGCTATCAGTGGAGAGCCTGGTTGCGGTTTCACTGCACAAACAACAGTACCCATCGATTCATAAGTATGGCTATTTCGGTAGTTGTCTAAATTAGGGTCCCTTTTAGGATCCTGTTTATAGGGGTGCCATACTATATTGAAGACCTAAAAATGAACCCTAATTTAGAGAACTACCCTTCTACTTACACGAAGCCAGCATAAGGCTTTGGGGCTCCTTTATAGTATAACTATAATAAGGAATCCCCAAAATACTTTGTATAGGTAATTATTTAGGCCCCTATTTTAGGGTTTAGGGTTTAGGGTGGTTTAGGGTTTAGGGTTTAGGGTCCCTGTTTTTGGGACTGGAATCTGCCAGGAGACTGAGTGCAAGAGGCTGCAAAGCCATGGATGGCCAGCACCGGGGGTGGTGAGTCGGCAGCTGGAGGTCGCGAGGGAGCCTCCACAGCCACTAAAGGTTTAGGGCTTAGGGCATTGGGGTTTGGGGGTTTAAGGGTTTGGGGTTTAGGGTTTAGGGTCAGTCTGTATCCACACTCAATACCCCAACACCATTAAGCTGCAGCCACATGCGCAATGGTAGTATTGGGTTAGTTGCAGTCCAGTAGGTGACCTCAAACACTTGCTCTGATGATCAGTTTATACTCAAGACAAGTCTAAGAAGCACCGGAAATACGCTTGCCATGCGGTGATTCCTTTCCGGTTTAGGGTTTAGGGTTTAGGGTTTAGGGTTTAGTGTTTTGGGGTGTAGGGCCCATACACTCTCAGCCTTAAAGGCTGACCCTAGACCCTGAACCTCATATGCTGCACCCCATGCCCTAAACCCTGAAGCCCACACTCCGCTAGCAAGCTGCACGGTTGGAGTTCACCGGGACCCATTTTACTTGGGTTGCGGGATTTGGGACTTGGACATGTAAGGGCATGAAGTAGGATTTTGCGTTTACGGTAAATTCGGATTCCCTGCGACTTATACCGAGTAGGTTAATAGTAGGACCTGCAAAAAATGCTTCTGTCTTTCCCACCCCATGCGGGTGTACATGAGGGTGCGACCCGAAACCCCGAAGCGTGAATGCTGAAGGCCTCAAATCTTCAACCCGAAGCCACAAGAGTGGGCCTTGCTGGCGCCAAGCAATATAATTGTCACAGGGATCCGACAAAAAGCGGCTAGATGATTTGGAGCATTCCCTGAGGCCACTGCGATGTATCTGCAGAGATAGCCGCGCCAGCGAAAGAACTTGACCTTTGCGATGAGTTTTTACGGAAGCAGCCGAGAGCTAGACCTTCAGGGTTTGGGCCTATGCACTTCCGCTTCTCTTTAGGGCCCTTTAGGGCGACCTGCAACTTTTTGACCGAAGCACTAAAACCGACCACCCAATGCTACGGCCTAAACCCTGAGCCCCAAACCCCGCATCCCAAAACCCTGTCTGAGATGATTAAAACCCCAAAATCTAAATCAGGAAGCCCTGCAAACCCCTACCGTGACAATGCCTGGTATCCCGAACAAGAACACCTGTGCTAAAACTCCACCAGTGTTGAAGTAGATCAAAATCCAAGCGCCTAAAGTTAAAGTCATCCCTGCATCCACCTTTGGCCCGGCATAAAGCTGTCAAGCGGACATACGCTACAGGATGGACACATGAATGCACATCGTTTAGCCCTGACCCCCATGGAAACCTCGTAAACCCGAAGCCCTGCACCTAAGAACCCTAACCCCAAAACCCGAAGCCCTACACCCCTAAGAACTCGAAACCCTAAAGGCCCTAAGAGCCCTAAACCCGAAGCCCTACACCCGTAAGAACCCCCAGGAACCCCCAAAACCCTAACCCAAAGGACTCCAAAAGAACACCAAGGGAAAGAAAGGGATCGCCTGAACCCTAAACATTAAACCCTTACAGATTAGGGTTTAGGGTTTAGGGTTTTATGAAGGGAACGGTAAGGAACCCCTATAATACCCTTAGCCTTAGAGGAACCCCGGCCCTAAAGCAAGCAACCAACAACCGAAGTGCTACAACCTCAGACACAAGATGGCTAGAAGGGGCAGAAGGTCTGCTGAATCCTTTTTGAGTGTTGAGGGTTTTAGGCAGGGTTTAGTGTTGAGGGTTTAAGGGTCTAGTGTGCTTAAAAAATGTCAGCATACTGGCGGTACATCTTGAGTAGTTTGCTTGCCATGTTTGGCTTTGGAATCATAACTCACGCACTGTTAACAACGACAGGGACCCCATTTAAGCGACGGGCGTCGCTGTGCTCAAAGAGCCTCAGCTGCTTCAGCTCTGAAGCTCGCAGACGCATAAGACCAAATACCCATACTATTCCTGTGGGTTCCTTACTAGAGTTACAGTGTGATCTACAGTTCCTTTAAAATCAAATTCTAGGCATTAAGCCCCCCCCCCCCCCCGAATTTTATGGTTTGGAAATGGATGGTCCCAGCACCTCGGCTTAGGAGTTGGGGGCTTGAGGATTTACGCGACAACTCGAGTGTACATGTGCAAACTCCATCATATCACGGGATTAAGCGTAAGCTGTGTTAACATGGGGTCAAGGGAATAAGAGGAAGGGGCGCCAATCCTGCGAGCCCAAGGGGTAAGAGCCCACCCAAAAAGAGCGGTGGACCCGCTTTTAAGCAATGAACCCTACATGAACATATTAACACCAAGGCAGAACGGTAGAATTCTTTGCCTGGAGCTGGCAAGTTTCCAAACACAGGAAACCTACCACCCTGCCCCTCAACCCCCCCCCCCCCCCCCCCCCC